CTAGATACTGGGGATGCAGAGTCTTTCTCAGCAGAGCCCACCTTGTACCCAGGTCCATGATGGAGTCCCTGTTCTGAATCAACTGTTTGGCCTGGAAGTCACTGGAAGACATCTCTTAAGGCTTTGCATTTCCCTTTCCTCAAAGCTTTCCAGCACTGCCAGTTGTTTCACTCTGCTTTTACAGGGCAGAGTAAGCTTGGGGCAGCTCCGAGCCATGTGCAAACTCTCATCCAGCTAAGTCTCCCTAAGACCTGAATTCGAACAGCTGTCTGTGAGAGATGCCTGGATGAGCCCTACAGAGGTGCTGAAGGATTCCTGGCATGTCCCAATCTCGGCAGCACTGCCAGGACCAGGTGGGAACCTTTTGCTGCATGACGAGAAGGGATTGATGTGTCAGGCTGAAGCGAGAGCTGAGATGATTTACAGGAGAGACTCGTCCAAGCCGACCCTATTGCTGAGGCAGAAGAAGTCTGAAATCTGAGAGAAATCACGAAGCAGAAGCAATGAGGCTCATAATTCACCTTCCTGGGAGAGGCAGCATCCATGGGGAATCACTGCCTATGGCAGGGGCTGGATGCACTGAGAGAAGGGAAGCTATTCTTGCTCTGCCTTACCCATCCAGGCACTGCAAGGCTCTGGTACATTTTTCATGGCAGTAGGAGCAAAAAAACACAGCAAGGCATGTAAGAACAATAAAGATATTCAATGCCTTTTCTTGAACTGAAGTGATCTGGTGAGGAGATGAGACAGTTGACAGAGATGGGGTGGGGTTGGGTGGATCAAGCCAGGCAAAGGTCATACTGTGAAGCTGCTCCTGGGCCAAGTCTGGATGCCTGGGAAGTGGCAGAAGGGTTCTGCAGTGAGAGTCATGGAATCATTACCATTGGAAAGGATCACTAAGATTATGTAGTCCAAGTGTCAAAGGACAATAGGATGGGTGTCCACCCATGGACACAGGGGCAGGAAGAACATGGAACATGTCAAGGAACCTCGGGGCACTGTTGGGAGGTCAGAGGCCACTTTGCTCCATCTGACCCACTGTCCTCCTGCTATACAAATGGATGCAGGTAGTGAGCAATCTGTGCTCACTACAAAGGCAAAAGTGAAAACTGGAAAGCTTCTTACCCAAATGGTTCTTTGTGGGAGCAGGGCCCAGCCCTACGGAGCTCTTGAGTTGTAGAGGACTTCAGTGCATAGACAATCAATGGGAATACACTGTGCAGGTGCTGCGTTCCCCTGGTACGTGTGTTAAAATGTGATTTTCCCCTTCTGGCTCTCCACCTTCTTCTCATCACCTTCAGACTCAGGAATTTGCCCCAAATGTGCTACAGCCACTGTGGCCACACGAGTGAGCAAGCAGCTAGTCAAAGCCTTGCAAACAATACTCACGATCCAAAGGAAGAGAACTGATCTAAATGTGATTAAGAGCTAGGTAGAGATGATCTTGTAATTATCCAGTCAAAGCAAGGTGTCTCTTGATCTGAATGAATACTGGCTCCTTTCCAAGCTGCAAATGAGCTGCACAGAACTCCTCACGCTGTAATTGCGAGCCACCCCATATCTCCCAGGAGATCGCCTGCTTGGGAGGCTCTTTCTCTTTGCTAGACAGTGCTTAGCCATGTTGGGAAATGGAAAGCACAAATGTCCAACAGGCACAGAGGGAAGATCCTCCTGTGTCTTATAACATGAGATTGGAAAGCCAGCTGGCACTAGGGTGAACCACTTTGCATGCCAGGGTCACAGCCACCACGTTCCTTCATGGTGTCCTGTGTGCTACAGACTGTTGGGTCTTAAACCAGCCCAAAGTGGGGCAGGGATCTGCTAGAAAAGTCAGGCCCAGCACTCTGTGGATGTGCTCTCTCCACTTCAAGATTAACCTTTCAGAAATGTCAGCCAAACAGCTGCATACAACCTGCTGCCTTGGTGTTAGAACCTGTAATTTTTGGCCTTGTGACTATAGCTTCAGTTAACTCCTTCACTGCCTGTGTTCACTTTCCTGCTCTCTCCCAGACAATTCCAGCTCCAAGGTCCTTTTATCTGCAGTGATCTTCATGCTCTGCATGTAGGCGACCCCTCTTTCCCAATGCACTGCTTGGGATGGCAATGTCAGAGGGCACTACTCAAACACGAGTGCTTGGAGGTGTGTTAACAAGGAGAAGCAGCATATTGCTGACTTGCAGGAGCTGGACTGTCATTGAAGAAAGAGTAAGGCAGGGTGGGATCATCCTTCCTCGCCTCCCCAGATGTCCAAAAATCAACAAAGCATGCTACGAGCAGAAAGCAGAAGGACTCTGTGTCTACTGCCACAATTCACCTTTCCTTTAGACCTAAAACTCTTTCATCTGCTTCTTCAGGGCAGATCTGCTACCTGTCACAGGACCCAAAGGAGACAGCAAACTGCTAAATAGGCCATGGTTCCATCTGAGCCAGGAGGGTTAGAAATTGAGAGCAAAGCACTCCCTAGACAGCATGTTCTCAAAAAGTTGGGGGCAATGTGTGCAGGACAGGCAAAGAGAGGGGCTGTATGGTGCAGGGTGGGGTTGGGCAGCATGCACTGTATTGGGTACAGGTTGGCAGTTGACATGGGCAGGAGTACAGCTGGAGATTGTCCTTATGCAGAATGAGTAGAGGAAATGGTATGCAAAGCAAGTTGAGTAGAGAAGAATGGGATGGGATGGGATGGGATGGGATGGGATGGGATGGGATGGGATGGGATGGGATGGGATGGGGTGGGGTGGGGTGGGGTGGGGTCGGGTGGGATGGGATGGGATGGGATGGGATGGGATGGGATGGGATGGGATGGAGGCAATGCCCTGCCTTTGAGCCAAGCTGGGGAGGGAGCTGCCCCCAGGACTCCACATATCTAGTCCTGGCACAGGTGTTGTCCAAAGTCAAGGTGAGGACATCCCTCAAAGCACATCCTGCTTCCAGCTGTTCCCCAGCTAGTCCCCAAAACTTAAGCCTCCAACAGTGAGTGTTACTGCATAAGAATGGGGCTACATTTACATTTGGGAGGCTCTGTCTTGTCCTGAGGAAAGCCAGATTCATCTCTATCTATTGGTGCCCTGAAAGACCTGCATGTGAGGTAGGTTCTGGAGAAGAGCCATACTGTAAGCTGTCTGGTGCTCAGGGTCCTACCTTGGCCTCTAAATCTTGAACTGCAACAGAACATGACAGCTACTTCAGAACCTCCCCAGCTTTATGCACTTCTATGACTTGGTGATGACACGGTGCCAAAAAGCCCCAGGCACTGTAAAAAATAAAGCTGTACTCCCACAGCTTGGCCAAGATACACTGCTCTGTTTGCAGTCCCTGAGACCATCTGAGGGACCCTTACATAGCTCTGCCAGCTGCAGCTGACCTGATGATCTGACATTGTTCCCAAAGGGAACCTTTCCCCAGCTCCACATTTACACTTTGCTTGTGGATGATGGGTAAAATGACAGCAAAAGGTATCTAGAAGACATCTGGAAGGCACACAACCCAGATGCCTGTGGACAGCTGAGGCTGCTTGCCTAATTAGAGTCCACTCTTAATAAATGCCCTCCAGCTGGCTCAGATGTCCAATTGAACTTTCCTTTGGTTGCATTTCTTTTTTTCTTTTTTCTTCTTCTCTCTCTCCACAGATGACTGCAGGCATTGAAGGTCTTTGGCTGAGAGGAGACACTGTACCAGTTTCCTGACTCATTTGATACCATACCTACAGAGAAAACTGGGTAGACCTTCAAGAATGTGGGTGCAGCACAAGCCCTAGGTGCAAGCAGCTGTGGAGATGGCCAAGATAAAGGTGGCAAGTCATAAGAGAGATATGAATATTCAATAACATACATACCCCTACATATATAGGTAACTGCTATCTATATATGTATATATACATATGTACACATGCATATATACAGGTAGCAGTTTGAAACCTCCCATTAGCAGAGCCAGAGCCACCATGTCTTCCTGTTCAAAATGTTCAAAACGTTCTGCTGTTTCTGGCACCATCCTTCCTGTCTCCTTTGCCCATTGAGCAAATGAGTTCAGTTTAATGAGATCTGGCTTCCTGCTCCTCAGGATAGCTGCAGATGGGAGTTGCCCGAGCAGTAAGCACTGTCTGCTCCAGGACAGGGAAACTAGTGAGAGGGATGAGGATAGAAAACCACCTTCACTTTGTTTCATCTCCAACCAGTGTAAATATTATGCTTTTAGGTAAACTGAGGTAAGCTCTTCTCCTTGCATCACGCAGGAAAACGATCCCAAAAGCACACGGGTGGGATGAGATCGGGTAGAGGTGCAGGGGTGGAGATGCGGACTCTGCCTTCTCTGGGCCTCCCCGGGGAACGCAGTGACCCCACAGCAACAGAAACGAACCCCGGCAGCGGGCCCTGCGGCAGAGCCGAGCCGTGTGCCTCCGCGACCTGCCCGGATGGGAGCCGGCTCGGGAGCGCCCGGATCCTTTCGTGAGCCCCGTGCCGTGCGCTGCGGGCTGCGGGCGGCTCCCGGAGATGCTGCCGGTTGGAGGCGGGGGAGCGACCGGCCCGATGCCCGCAGCCGCCCGGCCGGCCCTATCCGCGGCATCCTTTAGGTGGCACCTCTCCTCCAGGAATGAGCCTCCCGGCCCCGCACCGCCCTGCCCGGGCACCGCGGGGACCCGCCGCCGTCGGAAAGGCTCCGGCTGCCCCCGGAGCGGCCCCTCCCTCCCTTCCTTCCTTCCATCCCGTGCCCGTCTCCCCCGTCCTCCCTCTCACTCCTCCAGCCAGTAAATCCGAGCTAGGCTGATTCCTCTCACGTCAAACCACATGATCCCATAAAACATTCATCGCCTCTCCAAGCCCCGCGCCCCGCTCGCTCGCTCCCGGGATCCGCCGCTGCAAGGCTCCGCGCTCCCCTCCGCCGCCTCCGGCTCTGCCTCCGCGGGATCCGCCGCAGCTCCGGCCCCGGCCCCGTGCGTGCGGCGGGCGGGAGGGAGGACGGAGGGAGGAGGCAGGCGGGCGGGCAGGGAGGGAGGGGGAGCCTCGCCTGGATGCTGACTCCAGCTCGGGGGCTGCTCATTCCCCCGATGAGCGAGGGCACCGGCACAGGGAGAGCCCCCTCCCCGCGCTCCGCTCCGCGCTCGGGCTGAAGTTTCTGCACGAGGACCTGCTCCGCTTTCTCAAGGATTGTACCGCCGCCGCTCGACTTTGCGCCTCCAGACGTGCCTTCCCCGACCCCTAAGATGAAGAGGGCGATAGCTGAAGGTAGGTGCGTTCCCCCCCCCCCCTGATACCCCCCCCTACCGAGACTCCCCAGGGCAGGGCAGGGCAGAGCGAGGTGGCCACATCCCCCGGTGCGGTGCGAACTCGGAACTTCCCTGCCTGCAACTTTCTTCGTCGGAACGGCCGGGTCCCACTGTTGGGGGAGCGCGGCCGGAGCCCACGGGTTGAGGGTCCGCATCTCTCTGGGCTCGGGAGAGGCGGAGGGGTGAGCGGAGGCTGAGGCCGGGTTGGATGGGGGTAACACGGCTGCGAGCTGCGGTCTGAGGCCCCTCCTGCCCTCTCTACCCCCGCCTCGGTGCGGCCGGGCTCCCCCCGAAGTTGGGGCAGGCAAAGTGTTAAGGAGGTTGGGCCGGGGGAAAAAGCGGCATCCTCTGCTCTCAAGGCTGCCTCCCACCGGGGCGCAGCCCGTGCTGCTGGGGGAGGTGGCCGGAACGGCGGAGCCTGAGAGGAGGGCGGAGGCAGCCAGCCCGGCTTTTCCTCCGCTCCTTTCTGGGCTGCCGAGGAGCGATGCTCCGCTCCCGACGATGCTGCGGAGGAGCTGCGGGTGCCTCCGGCCGGGGAAGTTGGCGGAGGTTGCGGGATCCCCGAGACCGGGGATGTACACGGGGCTGACCCCTCTCTAAGGGACCCCCTCCCGCTTTGGTGCCCAGCAGCGAGAGGAGCTCGTGGAGAAGCCCGGCAGAGCAGCCTCCTCTCGCTGCAGATCGCCCTTTTCCATCTGCTCGAGCGGCCCTTTTGCTTTTCAGTTGCCGGTGCGGACGGATCGGGCTGCAGCCCCCGTGAGGGGATGCACCTCTGTAAGCTCGTGGCTTCGCCCATCCCATTTGCAGTCCCTCCGGGTGAAACCCGACATGAAGACCTGCTTTCGGAGGAACACAGGCTCTCAGGTTCGGGCCGCTTGGAAAAGCGTGCCCAGGTGTGCTGCTGGAAACCCAGCCCGAGGGCTGCAATATTGAACTCGAGCCATCAGCCCCTCGTAGCAGCTCCTCGGCTGCCCAGGCTGCTGGATGAGGGAGCGTTTGGCACGCAGAGCTGCATGGAGTCCCTCTTCCATGTGTGCCTTCTCCTGCCCGCTTCCTTTCTCCATCAAAGATACCCTGTTGTTTTTTTTTTTCCCATTTCATTTTGATTTGCTTTCTTTTTCTTTTTGGAAAGCACTCCAGCTCATTCATTGATGCCGGTTGAAAGGATGCTCCCCAGCTCTGCTCCATACACACCACCTCTTTTGGAGGGCTCGAATCCTTTTCAAGTTCCATAATAACCAATTGCTTTCTGTTCAGCCTTGGGGAGGAGCAGGGGGGAGCTGGTTGTGGTGTCAGCCTGCGGGGCCCTTGGGTGATGCTGAGATGCCGGCATCCCTTTGCTATGTGCTACAGGCTTTTGGTTGATCTGAGCCCCATGGCTGCCTGCTGTGATGCTGGCAGTGGTACCCAGGTGATGGGTGATGGGTGTGGTGCAGCACTGGGGCACTCTGTGATGCTGCAGTGCTGTCTCTGCACCGTGACTTTCCTGTATTTCCAGCTGCTACCGAAGATAATGAAATACAAAACCCGTGTTACAACAGCTTTATTTATAGAACAAAGCTTTCAGGGGGTTGACTTTTTATTTTTTTTTTATTATTATTATTTTTTCTCTTCCTACTGCTTATGAGAGGCTATGGGTTGCTGGCAGGTGTGACTGTGAAGTCCTTATAAGCCTTAGGAGAAGCTGTTTGGATGAGTGACCATCCTTCTGCATCTGGGCTATGTTTCCCACTGTGGGCTGCCAGGATGCTCCGAGTGCTTTGTAAGCCAGAAATAGCCACCAGGGGCAGTTAGAGGCAGAGCTTTCACCTGGTGTTCTCAGCACTTACTGCTTTATTAACACAATTTATTTATATTGAAAGATTTTTCCAAGCTTTTTCTTTCTTTCTTTTTTTTTTTTTTTTTTTTTTTTTTTTTAAATAGAATTTCTTATGCATTACAAAATCCTGTAGTATAAGAACTTACACCAAGCTTAGAGAATATTTATTTGGAGATGCAGCAGCAGCTCCTTCTTTTCCTTGAAAGAAGACACCATTCACCAGTGCATTATTTTATATATTTCCTTTCTGTACTTTGTTCATTCATTTCAAGGAGCCTCAGCATTTCCTGAGCTTTGTTCCCTCTTCCCCACCGGGCAGCACAATGCTTCGGTCCAACGTTCTGTGGGTCCATCCGTGGATGTGTTCTGAGAGGCTTTTTAAAGTGGAATATCACAGCCCAAATATCGAGGTGCCGTTGTGCTGCTCCGTGCTGTGAGGTTGTGTCAGGGCAGATGTGGTTGTGTCTCTGCTGGTTTGGTGATATTTTCCCCTCTAAGAGAAAGCTGGCCCGGAAAATAAGGGAATTGGAAGCAGTGAGAGCTGCTGCTGCCCTCTGCACTGCTGTGGTTTGTGGGCAGCAGGTGTGCGTGTTGCTGACCAGAACGTGGGGAATGTGGTATCCCTGTCCTTGCAAGCCTTGCTCTTTGTTAATTACCTGCATCCCATGTTTGGGTGCTTTGGGCTTTGCATAGTGGCAACTATGTTGGTGGCTCATAAAGGTGCAGAAGTGGTGGTGGTGGGGAGGAAGGGAGTAAAATCGGCAAATCCAGCAGCACCTCTGTGAATTTTGGCTCAGAAGCAGTGAGAGAGACTGAAATGAGGGCAGAGAAGGGAAGGATGCTCCGGATCCCAGCTCCTGGGCATGCTGCCATGGGCCCTGCATGCCCAGTGATGCTGCTGCATGGAGCTGCTGCCTGCCCCGAAAGCGCAGCATCCTCCTTCCCTCCCCAATCCAAGCACCAAAAGGAAGGGATGAGGAGGAGGGAGAGGGGAGATGGGTTGAGCCAGAGCCTCGGCACAAAGCAGGACAAGGAAGATTGTGAAGAGCTGAGCTTTAATCCTTGTGCTGAGCTTGCCTGTGGCTGCTGTGCCCACTGTGTGTGGCTCGGCCGTGCTGCAGGATGTTCCCCAGTGGAGAGGCTGAGGCCATGGGAAGCAGAACCGAAGGGAGAAGAAAGGAGTTGGTCTAATTAAGCATGTGCTCTCTTGCCTTGGATTTGCAATGCTCCACGCTGCTGTCACCTTCATTAAGACATTTCTCAGAGTGCCAAGTGCCTCTTTTGATGTTCCTAAAGGGGTTTGTTTATCCAGGAGACGCACACACAAGGAAGCAGAAGCATCCTGTACCATTGCAGCACTGCATTGTGGTGCCTGCAAGGGCTGGGAATTGCACCAGGGTTTCTCCCTCCCATCCTTCTGCTGTATCCTGGAGCCAATTGGGTCTGTGTACTGTATGTGTGGGAGGGAGGTGGGAGCTTGTGGTCCACAGAGCCCAACCTCTCCTTCCCTTTTTGCTGTGGTTGCAACTCCTGTAGGTTTCCAGAGGCTGAAGGAAAAGGGAGAAAACAACACTGAAAAGTCAAGAAGCAAAGGGTGGATCCTCCCATTTTTGGCATAGAAATGCCAAAATAATTGCTACAGTGTGCAAACTCACAGCTTACAGCTACAGCCGCACGCAGCAGCACAAGGTTTGGGTGATTTTTCCTATGGAGATGTTCAGTGATGACTCAGAGCAGGGAGGCTTCAAAGTGGTTATTTCCTATAGTGTGTTTGCAGCACACATGGAAATCCTACCTGGATTTGAGGCAGAAAGCATCTGCATGTGGCATGTATGGACTTTGTCCCTATTTCCCTTGCCTCACAGAGGTCCGGGCTTCTGCACCCTGCTCCCAAGTTCTGCTTTTGACTTCTCTGTGCCCTTGAGCAGATTGCTCAGCTTTTCCAGCTCTAACAATGGGAAAGTGATGCTGAGCTATCTCCCAGGGGGCCCAGAGTGCACACAGAGGTCGGCCCTGAGCTGAAGCATTCGGGTCCAGGCAGCAGTGACACGGCATCAGGACACAAGATGGATGGTGTTCTCCTTAGGGCTGGTGCTGCAGGTTTCTCTCTCCACTCTGGCCTTCCTCGTTGCCTTAGCATTGCAGCTTGGAGCCAAACATCAGCACCAGCACATTATGCAGTATTTACTGTCTCTCTGCTCTTGGAATCAGGGGATTAGAGAAGTGCTTTGTTTTATTTTATAGCCTTCCTTCCTGGAGCTGCCAATGGAAGTCAAAGCATCATACAAGAGTGTGCAAAAACACTTGAGAGTTTTGGAAGCAAGGAAGTTCTTGCATATCGTGATTTTTAGTGCCATTTCTGGAAGTCTCATCAGGGCTCGCATCCCCTGGGGTGCACCTGCCTTATTTACAATGAGCCACCATTTGCTCATACGCAGTTTGGGGTCCATGGTTCATTTCCATGCTGTGCTCAAGTGTTCTTTAGCTGTGGGTTGGAAACCCTTGAAGAAATCCAGGATTACCCTCCAAACACCTTGCTCTCCTCTGCTGTTGGCTTCTCCTTCTGCCCAAATTCCAGCTAAGAAGAAACCAGCCTTTGACATGGGATACCTCTGTCCCCTTTGCCACTAACATCCTTGAGTCATCAAAGTCCTTTTGTTAAATGATGCTGTTTGCTTCCTGGAATCTAGACTCAGAAAACCTTGCTTGCACTGCATGTTTCTGTACTTCATCTGTGGACATCTCCTCAAAGGTCTGGAGAGCCTTTGCTGCCAGCTATGCCTCAATTGACTGATTCCCATCCACATCTGCAATTCCATGTAGAAATGAGAAAAAGCACAGGGAAAACAGAGGTGTTTCATGGGCAGAGTGAGGTTCACTGCCTGGATGGGAGTTTCCAGGCAGTCACAGCTTTGTTCCATCTCAGAGGAACTGGGTGCATCCCTCAGATGGCTCTTTGCATTTGTTGCCTTTCTAAGGACGGTGTTTTCTTTCATCTCATTGCCTTCCATTCACCTTCCACTGGAAACAAAGGAATGTTTGTGCGTTCGAATGTGGTGCTTTCTTTTCTGCCCTCAAAAAAAAAAAAAGAAAAGGGATCATTATAGAGCCTTGCATGGATGTGCACAAACTGATCCGTT